AACAGTAGAAAAAACATAAATTGTTGATGGAACAACACATTAAAATTATTGTGTTATAAGAAAGTTGTATGTAATCTCGGTAAGTACTTAACAACATACATATTAGCTAATTGCTGACTTCTGCGTGCATTGGCGTGGAAACTCTCGCTCCCACCCCGTTTGTATTCACCGTGTGATGGTGAAAACACCAGCCTATGTAACTGGCCACCATGAATAATTACACCTGATTGGCTATTGCGTCGACACTTCGATTTTTAAACTTTGAATTACGCTGTTAACAAACTGAATCTGCCTTTTGTTAACGAAAAATAAAATGCCATTATGTTACGACGTAAGAGCCGATTAAGGGGAGTACGGAGTTACTCAATTAACTGTGTGAGAGCCTTTCATCGGTACGAATGGGCCGGATCGGCCGGAGTGATATCAAGGCCTTCCTGAAAAACAGCGTGAATCAACCACAGCATTGTGTTTCGCCGTGTGAGTATGGTTACCGGAGGCCAAACCTAATCTTCGTAATCCTCAAAAGGCAACTTATTTGCAACATCTGAATGGAAATGGAAATTTGAAATGAGTATTTATATTGGTTATGAGTGTAAAGTTGATTTTTATATAAGTTGTCCTCGTCTATGTCCAACACAACTCGTGATGAGCGATAATGCGGCTGACGATAATTCGCACGCTCGATTTATTTTAAAAAAGAGCGAGCCATTTCAAAAAGAGATGATACAATCAATATTAAGATACTTCCAATGCGTGTGTTTTCCATTTGTTTTATTTAAAAAGAATAATAATTACGTACATTATTGTTATCTTTATTTTTATTTCATTCATTCCAATATTTATAAATTCGAATTCATTGTTTCCATCCATCATTTATTACAATAATAATAACATCAGTGGAACCTGTGAATATTGAAGCAGTGTTTTTTCTCCTGTAAAGTCTTCTTTCCTTACGTACCAACTACACTTGTATTTATATATGTACCTACGTATAAAAAACGAATATCTTCGCCTCTCACCTTCAAATTTCGAACATTTAAATTCCTATTCATTATTATCTAACCGCATTAAATAAAGTAAATGTCAATCCGACATCCAAACACAATCACGAACGACAACAACAGTAGATATGCCCATTGCGAAAGGCTTAGTGTATGATACATAATCATTCCATATTAAGTAGAACTTGGAGTCTAAACATACAAATCTGACAATGAAAAGTAAGACACATCTATCATACACAATTTTCCATTTAATGAGCATATGATTATGTTCACGCGAACTATGAAAGGGTAAAGGTACATTCAGATAAGAGTAGCTGAGGTCGTTGAACTGTATTGTACAGTTGGGTAACAATTGTTGGCCATGTGATGTTGATTGTGACGCGGTCTAGGAGTATCAGTACGATCTGGTGAGGCTCCAACAGCCTCCATTCATACACAGTCACGCCCCAAGAGATTTGTGAAGTTTGTGATCGATATCTCGGTTTGCTACAAATCGATATAATCGCGTTGTTTCGTATTGAATGCGGCGCCTGCGCTGGCGACGGAATTCCTTAGATTGCGTTGCGTTTCCATCGTTGTTTTTTCTTAGATAGCAATTTAGCTTACTGCTTTATTTTTAAGTAACTGTTACATGGCGCAATGGAAATAATAAATAAATATTCGATACCAATGTCATTTATTTGTTTTGTTTGACGTGTTGATTCGTATTTCTCTCAACACCAATATAAAAGCATGATAGTAAAACGTTAAACGTTATTGTAAACATAATTGTACAATGTTTACTTTAAGAATTATTTACAGCTGTTTTTATAATTCAATTGTTAAGATGTCCAAGGAGACTTGGAAGAATGGCTATAGAATTGCTGACACAAATCTCAAGTAAGAAAACAATGCACGATGGTGACTATCAAGTTGGTTACAGTAATTTAGGAGTTGCAAGACTGCGTTTAATTTTGTATTAGTATTTAGAATTATCTAAAATTATTTAATTTATTACATCTCTATGTAGAAATTACTGGTTATATCACCTACATCATAGTGCAGTTAATGGTCTCATCTGTGAAAAGCAAATGTACCGATATTGAAACTTCTGAAACGACGGCTTTTTTTGTGGGGGTAAATCTTCAAATGACTTTTCTCGCCCAGGGTAAGTCGAGAGGAGACTCTTACTGAGTAAAAACCCCCGTTCCTTCTTCCGATCCTGGCTGAGGCCGCTCGGTACCTTTTTGGGCTTGACCCGCAACCCTGGCTAAACATAAGCCCTATTAGGCCCATCTGAAGTGGTCTATTGATTCTATAAGACAGAATTCGACGGCTGGATTAAGCGCTGCCTTTTCTCATAGTGGTTTACCATAAGCTCCAGTATACGCGCATGGCGAAGCGGTTGGAGATCACAGTGAAATATAGAATTTTAATAAAGATATGTATATTCAAACTCACAATTTGTCTCATTACCACAAGTTTACACACTGGTATATCTGCGTATAATTAACGCAAGTAAAGTACTCTTAGGAAATACGTATGTACTCATGGCAAGGGAGGTAAATACATATAATAATTAGTTATGATGGCCCCATGTGATACAGGCAGACACCAGTTTCAGCTCTGCCGCACATCAAGTAAGTACTTACATAAAAGCTTTACAGATAAATGTACTTACGTATGTACGGCAGCTCAACCTATTCTCAATTCCTTTAAAAGATTTTCAACTTTAACTTTTCAGTTATACAGTTGATATTTTGTTGAAATATATGTTTGTTTTTTGTAGGTTGATGCGCGTCTGAATAAATATTCATAAATATAGATACCTATGTTGTAGGTATGTTTAATGACATATTGTTAAGATAATATTCACACAGCCGTAGTTCATTAAGTGTGTTTTTAATTACGTAGTCCAAAAGGGGGGTTTGACGACGACATTGCTACGTGCTAGGATTCTGTGGTGCTACGAAATTCTGTGCTTAGATCTTGTTTACGCAAACGCGACTCGTTGTGTAGTCCGTCATACATTGCTCATAATGTTCAAATGTTTGTGTTTGGGCGGGCAATGATGTGGTCTTCCGCATGCAATGTACGACAAACACAAGACGGCCAGCGTCAGCGTAAAAGAGGCTTTACTGTTCGTTCGGAAAATACATCGCAGATGGAAAACATATTTTAAGATTTAATTTCTATCTAAACTGTTAGATCAAAATTTTCGAAAATCGCACAGTTACTGATTGACAGCTGTCTGTATGATGGGAATCAAAATGTTTTTGCGTGAGATGAAACTAAAAATAAAGTACCTATATACTTACCTACTAAATTAGGCTAATTTTATCGATGACAGCACTTACTTTATCTATTATAAAGTAGTAGGTGGTTCGGTATGCAATGACAACACTAATGAATTATGCAATCATAATTCAGTAGTTCATATTTGAGCTGATGAACATTAAAATGCAGGATGGAGACATACAAGGGTTAAGTAATGAGTATTAAAAAAAATTCTTAATGGGAATTCGCGGAATGCGCCATGTAGCCGTACCATTGATAATTAAAAAAAAATATAAATTTCGCTGACTACCTTAGAGTACCTATCAACCTCAAAATAAGGCGCAATAAGTTTTTTTTATCATATCAGCTTAGGTACGATGTTTTTAAAGATAAATAACCAATCAAATTTTGATTTTCCCAAAAATAACATAACATACGAACTAGGTAGTCAAAAATATGTCGTAGTGTATTTTACCTTACCTATTAAGTTTTAGGAATATCAGTTCCACAGTTTTTAAGATTAGGTTCTAATTTGTTGATTTACATGTACTTACCTACATTCAATGATGACGACAACTCCGCTTTGTTTTGTTAGTAGATAACTTCAGGGAGAATAGTTAACTGTATATTTGAAGTTATTGTATAATATTATACAACGCCGCTTATTTTTTAAGCAAAAAGTCTATTGTTTTATGCCTATTCAGATAAAATCTACAAGGTAAATGAATGTGCAGGTTGCATATACTGCATGCAACTGTATCCAGACATGACAGCTGACGTCAAGTTTCTTTGTAATAGGTATCGGACGTACTTACTCTCTTTGTCTAGTTAGGTATGTAGATAGGTAAGTACTTATGCATAGGTACTATAATGTTGTAGTATGTACCAAAGCTGTGATAGCGATGAGATTTGGTCGCGGTGTTGGAAAAAACTTTCTTCTTTGTGACGCTAAGAAAATGACGTCACAACACACAAAACTATAGAAATTTCATAGAAAACTGTCCGATCTATATAAACATAAAATAAGATACGTTAACATCTCGCAAAACGTGTTTACATACTAAATTAAGCATGCATGATCTTATAATTATATCATATCAAGAGCTTTTAATTATAAATTGAATTTTAATAGTTACAACTATTAAAGAATTTACAAATTACCAATTTAGAGATTTACATCAACTCAATACTTTCTTCTGTAACTTCTCATCAAAAGGAATATTACGTAAATATTCTGTTGTTGTCTAAATAACCGATTTTTACCCGATCGTACCTATATTACCGGTGGTTTATTGAAGCGGCGATGTTGTTTGACCACTTTTTTTATACAATACATCAAGGAGTTTTGATGAGATTCGAATCACCAAAAAGATTGATTTTATACGCGTTCGAAGTGAACGAAACATTAAATTGATTGCAGTTGCCTTTATTATATTGAAGATAAACTCTTGGTTATTTATTATAATATTAAGTCCCTTGATGAAATGTTATTTAATGATCCTCCTAACGTTATTGATGAACTGAAACTGAACAAGTATAGGCTGTAAACGTTACTTAAAAATGTAGTTGTCCCTAAGTTTGCTTTAATTAATACAAAGCACTATATAAAATTCGATATCATTCAAATTTTAAATTTAGAATTCTTTTACTTCTTTGATGGCATTCGATTCTCCAATTCAATGTTGTCAAATATACAGCCAGTGTTGAGTGCAGCTATACATAATAATGTTTTGAACTTACCTTTCTGACAGCTCCGCTGACAGTACTCCCTAGGCTCTCAGCGTCATAATGACGCGAGAATGAGTACGGGCCCGGATGGCTCCGGGATACGCATTGCCCCATATGCTCGTCACACACAAACCACGAATCACATATGTCATATAGAAACTGTTACATTCACTTCACATCACTTCGTTCCCACACGAATCTGTGAATCGAATATAGGATATTTATGTCAAGTGATCCTACCTAGTCAGTGGTCTGCATTTTAATGTGACACCCACACTGTGGCTAAAGTTTATCGGAGCATGTTTTACAAATATGTGTGTGTGGGTAGATGGAAAAAAATGCTGTAGCACATTTTTTCCGTGTTGTCGAAGAAAGGATTCCATATGGCTTTGTTTTTGAAAATTGAATTTACGTTATTAGCTATTCATGTATAATTAGGACTTAAGTATCAGTCAGTAATATTAGACTTGTAATATAGACTCACAAAAATGGCTGCTTTCTTTTAAACTTTACTCCGGAAACGTCCTATAGAACTCAATAAAGAGTCATCAATTGAACTTTTTATCTGTTCAGGCCATAGTGCAAAGGGGTCAAATGCACAAAACCAACTGGGGCGATGTTACGTTGCTGTCCTTTTTTTATAAGTTGGAACAAAAAATACATTTAAACAGTCTGTTATGAGGAAGACATCTGTTTCAAATAGGTATGTTTTCAAAGCCACGAAATACACACGAAGGGCAAAAAGTTTGAACCTATTTCTTTAAATAAATTCGCGTTTGCTTAGCATTTTATTCATGATTCATCAAGCAGGATTTTAAGTCATAAAAACGTGTTAAAAACCGCTTTTGTTTTGTTGTTGTTAGGTAGTGACGGTAGTGTCTAAGCCCAGATGATTATTTACCAAATCAAACTAACAGGTTGGCCAAGCTTTTCAATTTTTTTTTATAATCAATTAAACGAAGATAGTGTGATAACAGGAAAAGGTTAGGTACTTAATGATGAGTTTTAAAATATCTACATTAAAATAAAATTATGTTTAATAGAAAAATGTGTGTTCGTATGTTCTCCCAAATGTCTCTGTTAAAGATTCGTGATAGAGATAGATAAACTGTATCGAATAAAGAAACGTGAACAAAAAACGCCTTTTTTTCAATCCCGAAGGCCAAATGAACACAATCATGGTCATAAACTGGAGTTTTATAGACAACAATTTTGTAATAACAGCTTTGATAACGAACTAAATGCAGTTGTAAACAATCTTAAGATATATAAACAGTGTCACTGATTAAAAAATACTTTTTTCATTATGATTATTTTTCGTAAATAAATGACACAGTTACGGAAATCACCATAGGTTTAAATAAAGTCACAGTTTGTCTGCGAAATTGGATCAGCTGTTCACAGGTATTCTTTTTTAATTAAGGTCTTTGACAGTTCACATGTTGTTGGTGTAATGCACGGAACTTTGAACGTCACGAGCACGGCGCGTCGCGCGCACTGCGCACGGTATACGACTGCGGCGCGCGCGCACCTCGCATCGCAACCGCCACCGGCTGATCCGTTGACTCATTCATGAGCCGCCGTGAACCGTCCCATCGGGGAACACATAATAATGGAATATAATTAAAAGTTATTGTGTAACTTTTGATTTAAAGTGCAATGTTTGTTAGGTAGGTACCTACTTATTACGTGCGCTTCTGTTGCCTTTTAATTTTAATATAGGTATACCATTTCATAAATAATCGTCTTTTTTAAAGCGATACCTACCTACTATACCTACCTCCAGTTTTAGATTTACTTAGATAGAAAAACAAGTTTACTCTCCCTTGGTCGTGTGGTCACAAATGCGATTGTCAAACGAGCGAAACGATTTCGAGTCCAAATCCGCTGTAATAGCTAGCAACGTATTTTTTTCAGTTTACCAAACATGCTGTAATTAGAGTAAGGAGTCTGGAAATATGCCCAGTATGTAAAGGCAATAAGTTCACCTCTTATTACGTAAACTTAGGCTCCATCGAGTAATAAAACACAATGTAGGTACCTAACATATACAACTTCTAAGTACATGGACTTAAATGGACTTATAATTACTAATTAGGTAGGTACTCTACTTAAACATTCGTGTGAAAAAAGTCCATTGCTCTGCAATGACTGGCCGCCGATAGGATGATGATGTGACTACCAGATAATTCTCTCTTACGGTAGGAGTTGAACCTGGGATCGTTTGCTCGTTAGTTGCGCTTGCAAGCACACGAATGACGAGGTTACAAAATAATATAGGTACCTACCTATTGCTGATATTTCACTTAAATATCTAAAAGTATAATCTGGTATATATTAGGTAGGAATGCATTACCGATACGTTCCATTAGATACTTAATGTTTATTCTCGTACAAGATTACAACAAAATAATGATTAAAAAAAATTACAATAAGTTACATTCAACTAATGAATGTTTCACATTCTCTTCGAACATTGAATAACATTCGTCTTTCTGTGATGATACCTATCCTAAATTAATATTTAATTAAAAATATAATTTAATTCGTGAAGAGTAATCACCTTGGCTCTGTTACAAATCATTGTACTGGAATATTGTAACTGGAATATATGGTACAAAATTAAATATCATGAAGTTGTAGTGTTATAAACTGTCATTTTGATCTGCTGTCACTGTCACAATTGTTTATTGCCGAATTGCGTAATTTAAAATTATTAAAAATTCTAAAGAAATGTGTTTATAATAAATAAATGAAATATAAAATTTTCCAATAAAATCATAAATTTTACGTTCTGCTTAATAAATTTTAAACCGGTGTAAATTATTAGTATTTGGAATGTTAACCAGGCTTGGTGCGCGTTGTTTTTCTACGGAGGCATTGAAAGTTGTCAACAATGTATCTAAGCAACAGTTTCAAGTAACGATGGGTGATTGTGAGTACACAAACTACACAACAAATCTGAATTAGATTCATTCATCAATTCTTAGTGCTATTTAACTTGTTTAATACCTTATTTGAGTTAAAAAAAAGTGCGAAGAAGTGTAACCACAGACATATATTTAAAAGATCTGTGAGTATGATGAACCGGTACCTACTGCAGGATGTAAGACGGATTCCTTTAATAAGCCAAAATTCTTGGCCAGTATAGTGATCCCAGTAAATCAATACATATTGCCTAATTCCCTACAAAATTTGATTAAAATGAAGTTTCTTATTGGAAATATTGGAAGATATTCTAGTTACATATTAAAGACTTCTAGAATATATCTGACCTTTCTTAACTTCAAAGAAAACTTAAGTTTTGTAGAGGTTTAATAGTTCATAAAATATGTATTCATAAACTGCTCTATTTTTAACCATTTAAAGTCTGCATGTAAATCCATCAAATACAACATTGTAAACAATAGAATTTGATATTATTCAATAGCTCACTCAGGTACCAATTTTCATTTTGCATACATTGTTTTAGCTGATGCAGTGTTGAAGTATGACAAACAAGGAAAGCATATAACATTTTGCCACACTGAAGTTCCACCTGTCTTCCAAGGTAAAGGAGTAGGAAGCAAGTTAGCTAAGGTATGAACCAGTAATAGCGTTTTAATTTCAGCATAAATGTATTATTGTATTGAACCACTATTATATTATCATTGATACATAATGCTTATTAAATCAATCCTGATACTATTCATATTTTCTTATAGTATAACATATATAAAGGTCTTTTTATTTATTGTTGCAGTATGCCTTTGAATATGCACTGGAAAATTCTTTGAAAGTGACTTGCCAATGTCATTTTTTGGCTAACTATTACAAGAATCACCAAGACGCATACAAGAACATAAATATTAAGTTTGACTTGGAGGATGTTGTAAACAAGTAACTTTAACAAAATAAACAATGGACTTGGCTTGGATAAGGTGTAATATATATTATTATTTCAGAGAAAAATGTTTTGGTAATGCTAAAAAACTTGCTGAGAAAGCCTCAAAACAATATGGTGATGCTGCAGAGTTTCTATTTTATAGCGGTCTGGCCAGTATACTGGAAGGCCAAGTACAAAAAGGCATCAGTGAGCTAACTCCCTTGCAATCTGAGAAAGATCTTCAATTGGCTGTTGTTATAGCTCTAATATATGGTTATAAACTCAGTAGTCCTACTGAAAGGGAAGCCCTCTACAGCCTGGAGTCCAAACTTAAAGAAGAGAAGAAGCAAGCTGGCACTCTGTCTTTCTATTATGCCGGTTTATTTTTATCTTTTGCTGAAAAGTATGAAAAAGCTTCAGAGTACATCAATAAGTCATTGAGGAAAGATGCCAATAATTTGGAAGTAATTATCTTGAAAGGCTGGAATGACATGTACATGAATCTAGGAGACATGCAAGTGTCTATATTGGATTGCTTGGAGTTAGCTCTCAGCAAAAGTGATAGAAACATTGAAGCATTACTAGGATTGGCCAAGTTTAAATATTTCTCCAAAGATTATGATGCATCAAATCTAACTTTAGACCAACTGATTGTGAATAATCCAGGTCAAGTTGTGCCTTTAGTAGAGAAAATGAAAAATGAATTTGCTTTGCAAAAATGGGATGCAGTTTATGATACGATGGAAAGAATATTTCCGCTTGATCCAGAAAATATTGAGGCTTTGAAAATTAAAATTTTTATTGCTCTTTGTAAGAATGCTGATTATATAGAAGCAGCTGATCAGCTAAACAAGTTCTTTGCTGTGTTAGAGAATGAAGAACCTCACAATGCATATCAATTTTACCATACAACACAGATATTCTCAAGGGCTTGTGGCAGGTCTAGTGCTGTGCTTTCACAGGTGTATAGATTTGCGCAGTATGCCTCAGAAATGTATCCAGGTAATGTGGATTACTTAAGCGAAGTTGGTTATCAATGCATTCTTCAAGGAAAGTACAAAGATGCTCTCAGCTTTTTCAAAGCTGCTAGCAAACTAGATAGTAATTCCATTACTGCACTATGTGGGTTAACACTTTGTCAAATGAATGAGCATGGCCCTACGGAACAGATAGCTCAGCAGATAGAACTCTTGTTTGAAATGCAGGGAAGCACCAAGCTTCCAGTTTTGTACCATTTATCAGCACAGCTGAACTTGAAGAATTCGTCCAGTGCAATATCATTCTTGAACAATGCTTATGAAACTAAAATTGCCTATGCAAATCGCAATCCCTTCAGCTTAGCATATGTGAAGAATTTAGATCCAGATTTCCTACTGGAAGTCTATAAGGAATATAAGAAACATCTGCCTAAAAAGCCGTTTATAATAGTGGGATACTTGATGTATTCGCAAGAAGTTAAAAATCCAGTTGTCACACATTGTCTGAAGTTGCTAGATGCTATATGTGTAGCATGTCCTGGGTTGATAACTGCTTTATACGAGTTGGCGAAGCTGAAGTTTTTGTTTGGCTATGCAAGTGACGCTATGAAGTTGGCGCAGCAAGTCAATGAGCTAGACAGCACCCACGCTGGCAGTCAGGTCCTCCTTGCTCAGATATTGATACAACAACAAGCTTATACTAAGGCTGCACAGAGTTTAGAAATGTGTTTGAGCTATAACTTCAAGGTACGGGACAGTGCTATGTACCACCTTCTCAATGGAGTCATTTTAAAAAGTGCGGGACAACTAAAGGAGTCCCTATCTAGTTTCTTAACTAGTCTGCAAATTGCGACGAACAAGAATGTGGTTGGTAACGTAAACAGAGCATATGAGTCCGATTTAAATATTATTGATAAAGCCACTTTGTATTTACAAATAATAGAAATACAAACAGAGTTGGAACAGTTTGCCGAAGCTGGGAAAACAATGCAGGTAAAACTATAGAATAATATTATTAGTTTGCATTGCATTCTATAAAATAACTAACACATATTGTTTATGAGTCAATTGTAATCAATTTGTTGTCACAAACTTCCAAAGCCGCTTCTTTGTGAGACCCCACAATTGAACCCGACACTGCCTTCTCTCGCTCTCTTACTAATATATCTCTTCTCTCTTTCTCTCAAACATAATTCTCTCTATCCTTCTTCCTTTTAAGATTTCATTAAACACAACGCTTATTTAAAGAACAGTCATGCATGATACAATACGTCATTTAGACACACTGTCTTGATTACCTAACCATTGTATCGCTTTTATCGAAATTGTGTGGAATTATAATGATATCTATAAAAATGCAGTGTTTACAGCTATGCTAAATTTTTATAAGAATTTGATTTCTGGATCTTTTAACGCATTTTTCGGTCTTAAGTTTTTTATATTAGTCACATTTCCCTTTTTCCTTCTCCTTCTAGAAAAACAAACATGATCTTATGACCATTGTATTACAGGAAGCGATACAAGAATTTTCGTACACATCTGAAGAAAGCCGACTGCTAATTGCTAGGGCTGATTTAGCCCTCAAGAAAGGGGACGTTGACAGTGCAATAGACCTTCTCAACGAGATTAAGCCTGGCCAGCCCTATTACTTCCAAGCCCATAGCAAAATGGCCCATATCTATTTGAAGGAGAAGAATGATCGAGCGATGTTCACGTCGTGTTTTAAAGAGATCGTTAGCAACCACCCCATGGCAGACGCTCGCACTATGATGGGCGATGCTTATATGTCGATACATGGTAAGCAGGAACTTCTAATGAATTTTAATAATTAGATTTAATGTTACCGAACATTGTACGCAGGATACTTTTACTGCAATTGAAGTGAGAGGTTGGCATGCTTCGACACTAAGCCATATCATGACTTACTTAACCGGCGTGAAATATAGGCTTGCGTCCTGTTTTGGGTCAGTGTGTGTCGATACGGAGATTCCATCCAATATGTGGGGATTGCGGTGGGAGGACCCGCTCTCCATCCGCAATCTCCACATGTTAAACCCCCAAAATACTGGTAACGCTCGCTTCTTCGGATGTCCATGGGTGCCGCCGAATATTTATGATCAAGTGATTCGTTTGTTCAATTGACGCCAAATCGTTTCGCCACATGAATAAGGTTACCGGACGGCCAATCCTTCCCCTCCTCCCTCCACAATCTCTTAATCCCGGAACCCGTTTATCCCCAAAGTCCGGCAGCGCACTTGCAACTCTTATTTTGTTGCGGGTGTCGTGCGTTTGCTTGTGTATGACATAAAAACCTGCAAAGTGATGCTGCAGGCTCTAGCTCTCCTTAAAACATAAGAATAAACTGTGTTATTCTTGCATTCGTAGACCCGACTCAAGCAGCAGAAGCGTATGAAGCAGCTTTGAAGAGTAATCCAAAGGACGTGCAGCTTGTGAAGAAGCTGGGAGTGGCTCTAGTCAAGATGCACGAGTATGACAAGGCGTGCCAGCATTATGAGAGCGCGATTAGACTTCTCAATGATGAGGACTTGCAGTTTGAATACTATGATCTTCTGATCAAGGTAAGTTTAGATGAGGGGTTTATTTGAAGGTGTCTCAAAATTAATCTTTATGTATAGGTCCATCAAAACATAGATATGTTGGAGTTATAGTTGTTTTCAAGAGATATTTGTTATGTTTTTTTTTTATATTTTTGAGGCATCTTCCCAGGTTCCAAACAAAATTAGTTGCTTTCTTTCTTTACTACACAGTATGGATCCAGTAACACCTTATTTTTTATTTGTTGAGACTTCTTTGTGCACTCCATTTTTTTATGTAGTAGGGCGGCAAACGAGCATATGGATTACCTGCTGGTAAGCAATCAGCGCCGCCCATGGACACCCGCAACGGAGGAGTTACGAGTGTGTTGCTGACCTTTTAGGGATTAGGGATTTGGAGATTTATGGATTGGGGAGAGGAAGGATTGGGCCTCTGGTAACCTCACTTACACGGCGAAACACAATGCTGTGGTTGTTTCACGCTGGTTTTTTGTGAGGACGTGGTATCACTCCAGTTGAGCCGACCCATTCGTGACGAAGCATGGCTCTCCCTCCCACACTTAAATTTATAATTCAATTCCTACTGACATATTTTTTACAGCTCAAACAGTATGATAAAGTGGAATCATCAATCTCTTCAGAACTGAACCAGATGTACAATAGAGATAAAGATATCAACCAACTAAAGCGCAGAGTCCGCTTGCTACTGATGCAAGCGAAAGGGCGAGAGCTTAAAAACCCGACTTCAGCCAATGTGAATCTCTTACTAGCTGAAGCAAAAGATATACAGAGTAATTTGGTGAAAAGAATAGAGATTGACTCAAGAGGAGATGTACAAGAAGAGAAGCAGCAGTTGTCTAGTATACTCTGTGCTTTGGCTAAAGTGAAGTCTTTGAAAGAGCCGGCCGTGGCAGCTAATCTGTACTCTGAAGCGCTCGTTCACGTTCCAAGGGATCCCAATACGCTATTGGCTTTGGCTAAGTTGTACGCTAATGTAAGTTACATATTTTCTACGGTTTTATGTTAACAAAATATAATAAATGTACTTATCTAGTATGGTATATATATATGGTCCTTATCAACTTGCTACTAATTTTATACCTTTTCCGTGAGTATCTAAAAAGCTGAATAAGATTTGGTGGGTTTTTAGTCGTTGCCCACACCAGGATTTTCTCCTATGTCGTGGACCCGTTTAGAAACATTAAATTCCACATACGCGTCACACCTAGACCAGGAACAGCAATTTGTAGATCATAGAAAGAGTTGTAGTCCAGCCTCGCCAACCGCTCTAAACAGAATTATCTTATTTAATTTTCAGATAAATAACTCCGAGAAATGTGAACAGACTTGTGCAGTTTTATTGAACACAGATCCTAACAATGAGTCAGCGGCTGTTATGATGGCAGATCTTGCATTTAGAAAGGTAATGTTGCTACATTTCTCTTTGTTGTTACTAAATTATTGGAACGAGGATCCTATCCAGATCGAGCCGGAAAAAATTAAGACGATAAGTTGTAACGACACGTATCTCTCCCCACCCGTTTTTCTCTCTCTTTCTCTCTATATTTCTTTCTCTCTCTTTCATAGAAAGCAAGCTAGTGGTCGCTACGATTATTTTTGTGAGTGTATAGGTACAGGTGTTTTTTATTACATGAATTTATTTGTTAAATAATAAAACAATATTATTATGACTTCAAAAAAAGTTATTAATTCGTTATCTCGACTCCTCCGTTTTTTTACATTATTTTCTAAATTGTGTTTGAGTCTTAATTTCCAATTCTAGTGGAACATCAAGTGTAATATGTAGTTTGTTACACCTACACATTCCCACATATGTATATAGGTAGGTATATAGAGAGCCAAATAGCTAAAAACTACCTTTGATACACAATAAAAATTACTAAACTTTACTTTTAGGTGGACTTAGAAGCAGCTCAGCGCCACTTGAACCAGATCCTATCAGTTAAACCAATGAGTTGGGAAGCTCTCGCGCAGCTGATCGAAGTGCAGTGGCGACGTGGAAGACTGTCTGATGCTGAACAGGCATTGGAGACGGCTAAGTCTGCATTAGGAGAACAGGAGGATCCTGGTGAGTGAATGTAGTTATGTAGGATTGTAATTTTCTTTATTGCATAGGGCGACAGAAGATCACCTGATGGGTGATCCCTGCACTTACAATACCCATGGAGTTGCAAGTGCAGGATAGGTGGGAGGGCGGATTTTGTTTACATGATTTTTAAAATGAACTGGCGTCTGGCCGCTTACGTACCGCTGATGGTAAGCTATGACGCAACCCACGATAGAGCATATGCCAACCCATGATAACTCATTCACACTGGTCTTGATGACACCCAGATTATACTCTTCGGAGATCACATACTTCGGCAAAGAATGCCACTCCTTAGCGGTTCTTATATTAAAACTGGAGGCGAATCGCTTCGTATGTGTGAGTAAGAAATCTATGGAGCGGTAACCCTTTGTCTATGGTCAAACAAGGAATTTATTTTTGCAAATTGGCCATAAAATGTACGGTCTTGTGATACGATGGTGGCAAAGACAAGGAGGAATTAAGTTGTTCCGGTGCCCCTAACACTCATTCAAATGTATCTAATAAAAGCCCGAAAGGCTTACAACTTAACGCCTGTGTGTTAGTTCACACACAGTTAATTTTGAAGTCAGTCCGTCACAAGCATAATTATCGTCATTGATGATCACCTTGGCACGCATAAGCACGCTGTTGAGAGTCATCGAACAACATCTTAGTGTAAATAAACCAGCTCAAATTGCTAGTACTCTTTTCGTAACATATCATTGGAGTTTGATCTACCCTTACTACGGCAGGGTACAGTTACTGCGCGGGGGTGTGGCACGCGTACTCGGGTCGCGCGAACGCGGCGCTGCGGCAGCTGAACGCGGCGCGGCGGTGCGCGCGGTGGGGGGGGCGCGCCGCGCGACGCATGGCCCTGCTCTGTCTCGCGCACCACGCGCCACACGCACTGCACGACTCCTTCCTCGCCGCGCCACTACACTCGTCTGTATTACACCATGCTACATTTTATTTTTTATGTGATACCTGATACCTGATGGTAAACAGTCAGCGCCGCTCATGGACTAGTGCGTTGTTGACCTTTTGGAGATTAGGGATTTGGAGATTTTGGGATTAGAAATTAAAGGGTTGGGCCTCCGGTAACCTCACTCAACACTCACCACAGTTTATTCATTAGTTTGTACGAACGACATATTTATGGGATAGGCCAACAAGCACAAATATTCAGTAATGGTAAGTAAGTCAGCACCGCCTATGGACACTCACAAAGTAAGTGCGGTCCTTTCGACATTAGGGAATTCAGGATTGAGGTATGAAGAAGGAGTCAGGGGGCATGTCATCAAAAGATAAAACTAAGCATATCTACTCACTTAACCGCTAATACTCCTATTTACTAGGAGTACTAAACATCTGATACAATAGTTACCGTATACTCCTTGTCAATAACTTGCACGAAAATGAAAGTGAATTAAATAGCTATTTTTATCATTGTCTAGACTGGTCTAATATTTTGATAAAACATTTTGGAGCACTGTAAATTGTGGAACACCCACAATCGATCTCATTCAATAATATTCTGCCTAGATCTTCAACGCCCAACTTCGCCCACTGCAATCATCCAAAATTTGGGGAAGCTAGATTGTGATAAAACACCATATAAACACCGCTATATACCATCTGTATTTATAATAAAAAAAAAACATTTAAATAAATAGGATATTATGTTATCAGGGAGACCAGACTTCTAGCACTAAAAACAGCGGAAAAACTCCTAGGAGAAGTGCCACCGCTGGACCGCAAGTCCCTACAGGCGATGTTACAGCTGGCCACCAAACAAAAGCCTCAAGCGGAGAAGGTGCTGCAAGAAATACTTCCACTAGCCACAGAAGACAACTACCAGGATGATCCATACTTGATTTTGGCTATAGCTAATGCGTAAGTCACTTGATTACTTCAAAATTCAACACTTAAAAATACGATAGATTCTATTTAGTCAAATTAAATACTTTTATCCAAATGTCAATAACGATACCTTTTTGAACTCCAAATTATGACGTCATAGTTTTATGCGCCAAAGAGCTTACTTATTTCTTAAAAATTTGCAAAATAATATCGAAAACTTACACCCGGTTTCCGAAAGGCCGATCAATGTTAAAATCAATTTAATCTCTTGTCAAGGCATCTGATTGGTTGACTGAATTATGAACGACCAATCAGATGACTTGACAAGAGATTTAACAGGAGATTAGTTAATTTTAGCGTTGACAAGCCTTTCAGAAACCGGGTGTAAGTGTATCGACCGGTCGATGAATAAAATAAAAAAAAAATAATCACAAAAATTTTAACGTGAAATAATTACAATTTGGTGTTTATTTACAGGTATAACATTATAAAACAACCCACTCGAGCGAAGAACATATTAAAAAGGACAATTTCTTCAATACCGTGGTCTCCTGAGAAAGCGGATGGTTTGGAAAAGTAATTTTATTTTTGTTTATGGCGTAAACCGGCAAACGAGCAATCGGATTTATCTGATGGTAAGCAATCGGCGCTACCTAAAAAGGACAATTCCGAAACACCAGATTAGTAACAAATCCAATGTCAAGCTTTTGGGGTAAGGGATATGTGGATCAGGTGAGGATTGGCTCTTCGATAACCTCACCTAAAATGGAAACGTTGTTTCGCCGGTTTTCTGTGAGGCCGTAGTGCCACTCCGGTTGAGTATTTTATTGCTGAAGCATCTTATATCCAAAGCTTTAAATAAATGTTTTTCTAAAGCTATACTTACATGAATTGATGAATAATTTGAATTTCAGATGTTGGCTGGAAGTAGCAGATGGTCAGATAAATTCTGGGAGGTTAGATGCGGCAAAGGAACTGCTTACCAAAGTGTTAAATCATAACAACTCTTGCGCAGCTGCATATCAGTACTTAGGTTTGTATGCTTATTCAACTGGAAAAATATTTATCACTTTTATGGACCATTTTTATTTTATAATATTAATTTTTACTTATGAAATATTATGATTTATTTCTCTTAGTACCTATTATATTATGCATATTTATTTTTTTTAAATAAAGGCAGAAAATTGATGATCGAAGTCAGGCAAAATTTTAGCTACGTATATCTCTATGGATCTTCAGGGCTCTAGGGGCTTTAGGGCTCAGAGTGTTTAATGTTTTCGTCACTTCTATATACATGCACCGGGAAATAGGTGTTATTTATCTATAATTTTAACAAAATTTTCTTTATTTTTAGGTTACTTAGCAGAAAAAGAGCAGAATTACAAGAGCGCTGCCCATAACTACAACAATGCATGGACTCACGGTGGTAAAAGCGATCTCGCAGTTGGATACAAACTGGCTCATGCCTACCTCAAGCTGAAAAAGTACCCAGAATGCATTGTTGTCTGCCGGCACATACTAAAAGTGCATCCAGATTATCCAAAAATAAAAAAAGAAATATTAGAAAAAGCTAAAACTAATTTGAGAACCTAAAAAGGAGTAAAAAGAGCAAAAAGAATTGTACTGTATTTAGTTTTAATACATCTTGGGCACGGTTTTTCAATTTAAGTACCATAATTATTACTAATGAGTTACTTTATAGAGAATATGTTTTAGGATTATTATTAATCCTTAATTTTAGTTTACGAATAAAATTGTTTTGATTGAAAAACTTGCCCAAATCAAATTATATGTTTTAAAACATGTCTTTGGTCGAAATTTTACTTATGTAATCCGTCCATTGTTGTTTCTTCAAAAATCTATTTGGCTATTAAAGTTGCATTATTGTTTACATTTATATTGTCTTTTAATAAGAGTAACATTATAATAAATAGGTTATTATAGAATAATGTTAAGCACAATCAGAAAAAACATGTAACATGCATAAATATATTTTATTTCAATTTAATTCACTCAGTTGTGACATTTATTTTTCATTTACTTTTATTTTATTGAAACATTAATCAAAAAATACTGTTCTGTATCTACGCTACTTGATAACCTTTGATTGGTTAGTCATCTTTGTTTTCTTCTTGTTCTAAAATGGTCTTGAAACAGAATGGCTGGAAGATGTATCCCAGACCCGAGTAGAACTTGCTCATGAACTCCACCCTGGGTAAAGAAAAAAGAGTTTGTATTAGTGACTAGCAGCTCGCCCCTGCTTCGCACGGGTCTCGTCATCTCGCTTACGATGAAAGGGCGCCCTATTAGCCAATTCTCCCCTCTACTTTTCTAAAATTTTCTTTCAGAACCTTCTCTTGACAATAACACACAACTAAAAAAAATCAGTAGAATTGATTTATGCGCTTGCGAGTTATTGAGTTATGCGCTTACCAACACATTTTGCGATCCATTTTTATAGATTAGTGTAAAGTCACATGGTTTTTACACATCTTACAATAAAAAGTGAGATTAAAGAATGCTTGTAGATAAAGAATTTTGTATTGAACAGCAATTTAGTATATATAATAGGTTACTCGATAAGTTTTCAATGCATTATTATCTAAGTTTACATGGCATACATTACCAAAGACAAACCAACTAAATTATGTACCAAAGAATCTTTGTGTAACTGATTTAAAAAAGTAACCATGGAGTTTCTTGCTCGTTCTCCATCGGAATCCAAACTTTGGAATGAACAAATGGCTTCACTAAGAGGACTGACCGGTAGACTTTATCTTTAAAGTTTTGTTTGACGTAAAAGTGCCTGTAAGGGTCTAATTGAAATAAATGATTTTGACTTTGACATTTGACAAAAAGTTGTAAGTTACCAGTGCAAACGCAGCGTGTGAAGGAAGGCGGAGAGCCCTTCCATCATGACGAGGATGGCAAGTGTGAACAGCGCCCAGAAGCAGAACGCCACGTACAGCTTGATGGCGCCGATGTAGTCGTGGTCTTGCAGACCAAACTTCAACACCATGTTCCATAGCACCTCCGACAGTTCTGTGGGTTAAACAGGCATCAGTATCGCTAAGATAATAATATCAACATTAATAGGGAAATTTATAATAATTTCCACGGGACTTCTTTCATGTAGAATAGCATTTTTTATAGCCGACCAATGATGGGACTTTTCCCGCTCTAGTAATTAATTTTATATCATGAAAAAGATCTATATTACAGGAACCAATCCTGAAGATAAAATATGCTAGACAAACAAGTAAGCTGTTTCTTCTTTCTCAATCCAATACAAGAGCAAGAGATAAATATAATGGATATATTTATATACATACCGGCGTGAGCAAGTGAGAGAGCCCACAATCGAAGGTAGGAGGCAGTGTGAGAGATGGTACTGAGGACGTATTCGATGGTGTGGATGGCTTGGTGGATCATGATCTCGCTGAAGGGCTCGTCCTCGTGGTCATGGCCTGATGCCGCCGCCTTGGCCTCAGGTTTGGGGGCGCCGTCGCCGATGTCAGTCTGTTCCTGCATTTCAATGCCAGGGTTCACGCTGCCGTTTGAGTGTTCAGGCTGGAGAGAAAAACAATTGTTTATTTATTATTATTATTCGTTTCACTTTTGTATATTGTAAACCATAGTCTTTTAAACTATTAAGGTTCATATACATATCTTATTATTGTATCATACAGTTTAATGTAGGGCTCTGAACTGACGTGTTTACTAGGACTGAATCGCTGAAGCCGCTTGCTCACGCAGATGTTGCCTTATAGTGAACTATACTTATTTTTACTTATTCCCAAAGCTTAGAAATAGTAAAGACCTTTAAAACTTGAGCCCTTCGTGTGCTAAATAGAAGGAATTACTTGAAATATTTAGTAAACATTCCAAGGGAATTAAGATAAAGTTTTTCATGTCACCTTGGCCTCCTTCTTCTTCTTGCCAGCAGCGAGCAGGTACAGTGGCTTGCCCAGCAACATGACGGGAATGCAGCACAATGCGACGAGAACAAAGGCTCTCTGTATGGAGGCCTGCGAGTCGAACATGTACTCCTTGCATCCGTCTGCGGGCTCCGTGCTCGAGAACAACATCATGTTGATGAAAAGGATCAGGACTGAGGGTGCGCAACCAGGAGAGTACGCTTGTTCTGTAAGAAGAGTGACACGTTAGTGTTTTTATTTGATTCAGTCTATGGTCATTATTCAGTAGACTTACTGATTTGGGAGTTATCCATCAACATGTTATACTTATAAATGGATATTTAATTTAAGTGTGGGAGAGCCAAGCTTCGGCACGAATGGGTTGGCTCGACCGAAGTGATACCACGGCCTCACAGAATACCGGCGCGAAACAACCCACAGCGTTGTGTTTCGCCGTGTGAGTGAGGTTACTGGAGGCGGAGGCCCAATCCCTCCCCTTCCCCTATCCCTTCCCAATCCTTATATCCGCAACCCCCATCCCCAAAAGGCCGGCAACGCACTCGTAACTCCTTTGGTGTTGCGGGTGTCCATGGGCGCCGCCGAAGAATTGCCGTTTTTGTTCAGTTAGGTATGGTTATTAATAAAAAAAATTAAAAAAAAATCTAAAAAAAAATTCTAAGTATTGCCATCTGCTACACAAAATCATTCGTTTTGTGGTAACATTACTACGTTATTTGTTTAGTTATTCACATAAATAAGAATGAGTTAGTTTACCTTCGGAGAAGGCGCTGTAGGCGACCCACTTGTAGAACATCATGAACACCATGTACAAGAACAGCAGGCACAGGAAGATCACTTGCGGCAAGAACTCCAGCACTATGGAGTAGCGGCGACGGAAGAAGCTGGGAACATACACGACATTGTTCTAAGTCTATCGCGTTGTGTTTCGCCGTGTGAGTGAGGTTACCGGAGGCCCCATCCTACCCCGCCGCCAATCCCTCCTCAATCCCTAAATCTCCAAATCCCTAATCCCTAAAAGGTCGACAACGCACTCGTAACTCCTCCGTTGCGGGTGTTCATGGGCGGCGCTGATTGCTTACCATCAGGTAATCCGTCTGCTCGTTTGCCTACCAATTACATAAAAAAAATATATCAGTATACACATCAGTTTTTTCTTATTTCAAAATATCAGTATACATCAGTTTTTACTTATTTCAAGATAAAACGCTAATGAGCAGACGGACGACGGCAATGCAATCAGAGCCGCAACGGAGAATTACATGGAATAAGGTCAGGTCTGGTTAGGGGGAACGTAACAAATACGTGGTCTATTTTTTGACAGGGCAAATTCGTCAAGTTAAATCTCCATTCTGGGTAGGTAAGTCGTAAATGTATGTCAGTTTCGTTTATCTACCGACTTAACACCGCCTTATTCTAATCCCTGCTCCTAGCTGGGACCGCGTCAATACTATCCATCCTCAAATCAAATAATATGGTCTCTGTTCCTCTTCCAGTTTTCAAAACGTCTACTACTTAATATTGAGAAACTCAAAATGGGACAGACACAAATACATTTTCTTTATTAATGCTAACAATTAGGCAGTTGTTCTTGTGCTGTTTCATTACCTACTCAACTAGGAAATCTTCATTCATAAGTCGCTTAGTATATAATTATTACTAATATTATAAAGCTGAAAAGTTTGTTTATTTGAATGCGTTAATCTCATGAACTAACGGTACGAATTGAAAAATCGGCTTTAGGCTATATAACATCGTGCCGAGCAGTGGATGAAACCGGGCCAGAGAGTAGCTAGTTCAATTATAAATAAGTACCAAAAAGAACTTACTTGTAGTTGACCACACTCATGCAGACACCGAAGATCATGTGCAACACACCGAAAATGATGGACAGCTTCATTTTGTATGAGTTCAAGAAGATGATCTTGTTGTCAGCGCTCTATAGGGACAAGGAAATTTTCGTCAAGTTTTTTTACCAATAATAAAGTAAGTATCAAGATTATTTTGGACAGACGTGTTGTGGGAATATTTCTTTATCGTTTTTCATTAGAGTTCTTTTTGCTACGCCATGCGCATGTTAATAACTTGTGTAATTTATAAAATACTGACAATGATACCTTTAAAGCTACATTTGAGCTCTGTTTTTTTTGACAAATTTTGCTTAAACGTGCCATTTAAAGTTTAACTTAAGCGCGACTTCCATAAAGCCTAGATTCGTTTGCAAATAGTATTACCTAATATTTCATTCTAAATATAAAAATTAGGATTCCTCACCTGCCAAACAGGATCAATACCGATGAAGTACGGGTTGTTATTGTAAGCTGTTTTCGGGTCCATTGTCAACGCTGCATTGTTTTCCATGGTTTCATTGTCGTAAGGTACACTCCACGAGGAACCGAAGATGTTCATGGACTTGGAGAAGATATCGTTATAGACCAATCCCGTGTACATTGAGAAGCAACCCATGAGAAGAATGATGTAACGACCGGCGAAGAAAATGTTCCAGATTTCGTTGTTGGACTTTTTAGCGGCGAGCGAGACTTCCTTGCAGACCATCCAAGCTCCGAACAGGGCCATGATACAGCCGTGGCCCAAGTCTCCGAACATCACCGCGAACAGGAACGGGAAAGTAATGATCGTGTACAACGCTGGGAAACAAATAATAATTTTAAATTTTTGACTTTTTTGCAGATGATTCCATTATACTGGTCTGAATGTACCGATGCACTACTCTGTTGTTTTAAAATTCAAGTTTAAAATATTATGGTAATATTTGATTTAAGATTGTACTGTACTTATAAATAATGTTTATACTTGAGTAAGAGGAGCTTGGAATCGAGCTTTGTTATTCACGAATCAAAACTATAGTCGTTCGGTATTATCGAATTTTCGAACGAATAAACTTTTAATTTAAAGCCTTTGCTCACCAGTTGCCAGTTTTTAGTTCAAATAGATTTTTCTAGTTTTCTATATCGTTTGTAATACAAAAAGTAGATAAAAATCTACAGCAATTTTTTGATGCCTGTATGTAGGAGCACTATGAATAGACAGTCGGTTCGAATGGACCAGCACTACTCGATTAGTAATCACGGCGTCTTTTCGCAGTGTAAGTAACCTTACCGAGGACCCAGTCCTCAAATCAACGCACTTGTAATTCCTCTGGTGTTGCGGGTATCCAAGCGACGTCAATCACTTACCAATAGATGATTCATACGCTTATTTACCTCGTAAAAATAGTTACGAAAGTGATAGTTACCAGGGTTGCATTCCCTGTAGGAGGCGACTCCGTAAGCGTCGATGAGGTTTTGGAAACCGCGAGTGAAGCGGTTCGTGCGGTTGAAGGTCGGAGGCTCCTCGTCCGTCTCGATGCAGTTCAGGAATGATGGGATCGAACTGCCGCAAGCATTCTATGGAAGAAAGTTATTTTTGAATATTGCCACTTCTAACCATACCAAATGGATGATGATAGGTAGGAAAGGTTTTCTCTAAAGAATCTTTTACAATATTTAAAATCAATAAACGTTTTACTGAAAGCTATATTTTTACTAATTTAAGTGAAATCAGTACGTATAAAATTTTAAAATGGAACAAAAGTTATGTTGTCGCTACTATCCATTTCACACAAAATTTATAGAGAAGTTTCGCTTAAGGGTTTTGAAAACACGACTTAAATTAGCCTATTTGTTATCATCCCTGTCCTATATCCTAAACTTGTCTCTTGTTAGCATGCAAAACATTTTAATTTCTTATTTCAGTTGATTACATAAATCATAAATCATGTATTTCTTTGCAAACATAAGTGGTTGATACATTGATGAAAAACAACGACATTAAACACCAAAACTAATTTTTATATCAGTGTAGTAAAAGGTATACTTACAGATCCGTCAGCCAAAGCCTTCTGTACATTGGGCAGGTCCTGGGTGGGCACCCAGCACTCGCCAATGAGGCACTTCTTGGTGACGTCCATGTTGAATAGGTTCAAAGTATGGTAGATGGCCTTCATCTTGCGGACCATAATGGTCCAGCTCGCCAGTTCCTTCGCAACGCTGGCTAGTACTCTCTGCCTGTGGTCGCTGGTTTGGTTAAGCACCTAGGAATTTTAAAC